CCCTGGGTGTAACCACGTGACCGGCACACCACGACCCACCCCCGGCCCAGCCAGGGCCTGCTTGTTCCGTCACCACTTCCGGCCCTGCTGAAAACAGCACCACCCCACCTCCCCTGTGGCCTGCGTCAGTGGTAACATTTACTTGCTGTCTTGAAGACACGTACTTCACACACTCACCTTTCCCAGGCCTAAATTTGGGTGCCTGCTGCTAGTTCTCCTCTCAGAGCAGGGCCACCTGCTGCTCTAGACCCACCCGCCCCTTCCCATCCAGCACAGAGGCCTGAGCAAATGTATAAGGAATTAAATCTTTAAAAAAGGAGGAGCTCTCTAAAGGGAATTACAATGAGCAATAATTACTGGGGAAAACTTCAGGCTGAGTGATTGTTTTCTCAAGTAATGATATCTTAAAAGCTGAATCATCTCTTCTATCCACAGTTATACAGGACCCTTCATACTGAAGCCTTTTTCTAAAACATGTGGAAATAAATTTAAAAACAAACACAACAGGTTTCATTGAAAAAAAAAAAAAATCCCTGAGGGAAATGATTACAAAAATCCAGTCTAGTAAACAAATCATTTCAAGGAGAAATCCTTTTAGAGACAGTCATATCAAACGAAGAACTTCTTCTCTGACTCCTGACAAAGGTAATAGATTCTGAATTATTACTATTATTGTTCTTATTGAAGAAGATTGAGGCCTAAAGTGAAAATCGAGTGTCTTTTCATAAAGTGGGTGTCTGTTCAAAATATTTTCTAGTTTGAAAGGAAAAATAAGGTAAACAATGCACAGAAGAAAGGAGATTTTATTATACTCATTTTCAGAGAGAGGAGTAATGCACGAAGAAGTCAAACTTCTTTCTTTACTTGTAAAGGAAGTTTATACTAAGGAACAAATAAATAGAAGTCACCTGACTTAGAGTGGAAGGTCTTTTTCTCTTTACTATAAACAGCATGTTCAGAAAAAAAAGTAAAACTCCTTGTCACATACACCCCCTCAAAACTGTACTGCCTGTATAGCTTTCGCTAGCTGCTGCAACGAAGTAAAATATTCAGAAAATTCATATTTCAAGTCTTCTATTATTTCTTCACTTGTATTTATTTCATTCAGCTAAACTATGACTAAAAAAGTGTTTTCAGAGAACACTTCTCTAAAAAAAGAGGTATGCTTATCTAGCTGCACAGTTTACTCCTGAGGAAAATTTTTCCATTCCATTTCTCAGTATTTTTAAGGGAATCTTCAAAAAGATTCAGCGAAGATTTGCGGGCATAGTATAACTTGCAGACAACTGTATGTATTTCAGAGTCTTGAGTTTATCAGAAGGCCTTGAAAGGCAAATTAGAAGATTAATACCCATTTTGGTTATATGAACAAGCAAATTTATAGCAGTGTGTTCTCCTGCTCCCTGAGTTTCATTGTTAGCGGTGTATGGTGGATGTGCATCCAGTAACAGAAGCTCTGTATCGATAAACACCCCAGGTTTGGACTTATCGCTAATTTACTCAAAATTTTGGTTTGAAATCAGCTTGCACCCTCAAATTAAAGAAGGCTTTGCAACATTTCTCAGTTTTTATTACGGAAAAATAATGAGCGGTCTCATCCTATTTTTGATAATTTTAGTCACGATTCCAGACAAAGATACAAGCAAGGAAAAATGAAGAAATTAAAAATAAAAGGCAAAACAGTGTATTGAGGTTTTTGCGAAAAGCAAAAGAGTTATCTTCACTTTCAGAACATTTGAAAGACTAACCTTATCTTTATTAAACCCATGTTATTAAAGAATCTTTTGGGTTTTTTTGATGTTGTACAATGCTGCAATAGAGAGAATGTTCCATAACTCACTACAAGCAGTATATGATAGAGTTTTGTAATTGGAAATTATCCATAAATAAAATGATATGGTCAAATTAGCCATCTGCAGTATTCGTATTATTTAAAATTACCTGGGTTGTTTTTCAGCACTTTTTAGCAATTCTGAACAATATCAATCACATAAATAAAATAAAACCAGTATTACTATTTCTTGAGAGAAATACCTAATTCTTATTTCAGAAAACATGTTATTTCCCTGAGCTTTCACTATAATCAAGGTATTTACTAGCATGATTTGTTTTGCCTTTCAGCAGCTAAAAGAGCAAAGCTGACAAGCTGGTGACAAGATCATTACTTTATTGTTTCTTCAGCGAAAATACACTTTAAGTGGAGAAATTACACAAATCTGAGGACTTAGGTTTCTTCAGCCAACAGTTATAATTCCAAAATTATTTGGTATTGACATACCTGGACTTTTATAGCCATTCAGGGTCAAAAAGTTTATTTACCAGATGAGGCAAAATGGTTGAGTATCAGTATTCAAAAATTATCAAGCAGATTTGTTTCTGCAGCAGGTTGTTCACTAGTCAGCTCTTTGTCACTGTTACATCTTTATGACTTTAAATCTTTTCATTAGTTGCTGATAACATGGGTAGCTAAAAATGAAACAAAACCCGATATGTTACCATTTATTTATTCTGAGGTACTCATGTGGTATGGATACACAAGGTATCAAATAAAGACTATTTAGCACTCTTAGAACCAGAAATTTTAAGCTGTTGAGATCACAAGTATGAGCCAACTCTTGAGGAATTTGTTTCTTGGACTGACTGGATGACTGTGTTGTCTGGTCCAGCTACAGGATGAAGAGGACTATAGATAATGAGGATAGAGACAGATGGTTCATAAATCAGAATGAGTCAGGTTTCTTAGTAGCATTCATTTTGCCTTTGATTAACAGGATGTAGCTACCATATTTACTCATCATCTGTCTTCAATACAATCAAGTAATCCTAAGAAAAACCAAAAAACACCAACCTCCCCTCCCCTCCCCCCCCCCCTTCCCCCCCCCAACTATGTAAGGTGTCATTGTTTATATTTATTCAAAAAGTCAAAGATCTGTGCATCCTGGGCATTTGGCTGCTGAGGCTCAGGAGCAAGTCAGGTAATGGCACAAGTGTCCAGCTCCAGAGAGACTTGTTTGAGAAAGCTCTGCTAGGAAATCTTATCAGGGTCACCCCAGGTGGCACATACAGGAAATTCCCTCTGAGTGTGTGCTGAACAAAGGATGTGATTGGTTTTACACACAAGCTACAGAAATTAGCACAGTGTCCTGTCGTTATCAGTTTCTTGTCAAATGCCTGCATCATTTGCCTACTTATCCTGTGCCAAAGTAGAGCTTAAACCCAAAGTTTTGGTAATTTTAAATGTAATTTTAGGTGCACAAAGGTTTTCATGGACTTCAACAACAACTGTCATAGGCTTGAAATTGTAAATATGCACAAAGCAACTTGTAGCATTTTAAATCAAATTATTACACTCAAAGGTAATCCCAGGAAATTTTAAAAAATTAAAAACTGTAGGAAGAAAGTTAACCTTTCCTAATTATCAAGTCCAACATGGCAGCTTATCAGCCTTTGAGGAAATCCATCAACCTTCATAAACACTTTTTTTTTACTGGAAGAAATATGCCAAGCTCATGGAAAATTGTCTAAATAGAATTTTATAAACAGAGGGATAAAATATAATAATAACAAGGACTTCCTACCCCTCCTCTATATATTTAAGGTTTAGGGCATTAAAGATATTTAGAAACATCAACAGCAAAACGTTTAGGTAATGTATGCTTACCTATATGTTTATGTGACTGAAAGCATGTGTAATGTATGTTTGGAATTATAGAGTTCTAAAAATGCAGGAAGTAGCAGTCTAATAATAGAAAATATTTTCCTATACCAATATCATTGAACTGTGGCAAAACATAGATGTAGATAAATCCTAAAATTGCAGGCCTGATACAGGGTTCTGCTAAGCTGAGCTGCTGGTCTGGTGGAAGTAGGATAGATGTAATCAGATAACTTCCAGCTTTGCATGGGCTTTCTTTTTCCTTGGGGATATAAACAATCCTTTTGCTCATATGCTGTAGTAGAAACCTGAAGGACTGAAGCAATCTCACTGAGGGAGCAGGCAACTCAGATGAATTTAGCAAATTGAATTGGTTTATAGCAGGATAGTAGCACCTTTTTTAGAGGGTTTCTCCAAGGACAAACAAAGCAATTCATATTTGACTCAATAACAGTCGCTTACATAGCAGGAAAGAATAATTACCCTATTACAGGAATGAGAGGTGAAATTTAATAGCTTAAGTTATTTCGTGGGTCAGATGATCATGGTAGTTCTTTTTGACCTTAAAAATCTATGGATCTGTGCGTTAAGCTGTAGAAGCCCCTCTAGACTTTTTATGTATGGACTAAAAGTTGAACACTGTTTGGAAAGATTAGAAACTTTTTTTTTCCCTTTCCTGGTAAAGACATGGTAGGAGGCAGATGCTGATTTCACCCACCCTTTTTAAAATCTCCAATTTCGTTTCAGACACAGTGTCAACAATTTCTTTATCCCCTCAAAGGCTTCTGTCATCTCTGACTGAACTGTATTTTTAGTAGATTTAAAAGTCACATCTAAAGAATACAAGCATGTATCATTCCTTGATCTTTGCAGCACATAGAGTACGGCAAAAGTAATGAATACAAAGCACTAAACAGTATTTCATAGGTTCACATCAGATTAGTATGATAACAAAGAAATCCTGAATTATGCAATTTGATTGCCTACAAAACTGGGTGAAAGGAATGATTTTCATTTCCCTGACAATACTTCAAGAGCTAATCATAAGTGGTGAAAAGCTGACTGTTGTATTCTTTCACTCCTGTGAAAACACTTAACGTCTCCCAGTTTCTGTGAATAGCAAAGGAAAAAGTAGAGACAATGGCCAGATTGTGTTTATTTTTATGGATTAGTTTTCCAACTCAAACTGTCTGCTGTCTTCCAAAAGGGTGTAATTTGCTAGAAATATTTCCACAGAATAAAAGTATCAAATGCAAAAATAGTGTCACCCAGTGGTCTGGACATACCTTATTTTTATGCTTAAAACAATAAACTCTTTTCCTGGGAAATGTCATACCTCTTTCACCTGGAGTGTGATTCGGAGAAAACTCCAGGAACAAACTTGCCAACAAAGTTTTCAATCTGACAAGCAGGTATTCTTTATTGCGGCACTGGGAGACACGGGGGATAGCTCCTCTTAACCTGTGTCCCCCAGTTGCCACACAAGCCGTCCTTTTATAGCCACTGGGCATACATACATATTCATGAGGCTACATATGGATTGCATCATTTTCCAGAAAGTTCCCCGCATGTGTACAGAATTGTGGTGGTGGTCTCTGAGGGTCGTTTACTTCTTCCAACAATCTTCATCACTTCTGGCCACCTTTGGAACACGCGCAGTAGATGTTTATACCAGCTTAATTGGTTCGTTAGCACCAGAGACATAATAATCCTCCTGTCCTCCTACTTATCAGTTGGTTTAACTGTAGCCCATTGTGGACACCTGCCATTCCCAGATACTCCTTATCACTGTGTCCTGTTCTTCTAGACTGTTTTTTTTTAAAACTATGTCAATGATAATGATTTATCTTGTACAAGAATTCTCAGTATGTTCTCTAGCTGTAGTCTACCTTTTTTCTCTATGTATCATGCACCTCAGTAATTTTCCATTGCTATTGTTATAAAGCCATCAAACTTAACATTACTTAATACTAATTCTAAAGGTTTATATATTCCATTTTGTGATTTTGTGCCCCCTTGTCTCAAGTGTAGTATGTCCTGTTTCAATGAAAGGACTCATCTCTACTCCATCAGCATTTGTCACCATAGTCTTTGTTTTCTCATACACAATATTTTTGCCATTGATTTTAGGACACTGTTTCTGTGAACAAAGTGGTTTTGAGCAAGCAGTGCAAGTTCTTGATTGTCTGTAAGATAATTAATTCCATAGAGGACACATCTGAAGAAAAGTTTGTATATAAAATAAAAACAAAGATTTCCTCTGTTCAAATTCCATGTATTCTTATCCCTGGCTATAATATGATTTTGGAAATTTAGAGAAATCAAATGATTTAGTGGCTTACAATGCTAATGTGTCTTCAATTCAGCTCAGTTTCCTACACAGCTGTTGCCCCAAAATTCCTCTACCTTACCAATGCATATTAATCTATACATATGAAATCTTCACCAAAATCTTGTGATTCTTTTGGTGAAAATTGCTGATACAGCTTGCAGCATATTAGAATCCAAGCATATCCTTTGCCTTAAGTTGCTATCAGCTCTGGGAGAAGACTGACAGTTCTCCAGTGTCTTCCAATGAACTTTTATATAACCGAATAAGCTCTTCCACTATTCACAAAAGTATTATGGAGCAATTGAGCATAGAGGCTTATCAAACCATCCTCCAGTAGTAGCTGGTGAAAACAGCTCACCTGTAGGCGAAATACAGGAATCAAACCTGCTGAGTTTATCAAAAGGAGAGGATCAAACAACAAGAAAATAAAATTTAAAAAAAATAAAGAAAATAGCTTCCTTTTTTTTTTTCTTTTTTCTCTTATTTCACCTATACTAAATATGGTAACAATTATTACCTCCAGTACTATGGTAACAACTACTACTTCACAACATTATCATTATAAACAATCTTGCGTGTAAAAGCCATCAATCAGAATGTTCAGAGGAAGGCCTGGCTCCACAAAAACTGATGTCATGGGAAGATTTATACTTCTTTTTAAAAAAAACTCGGAATTATCCCAGTCAATATTAGCTACATGACATGTACATGACACATCTTTAAGTGAAAACACTATGGCAGTTGTAGATGTTGCGTTTCTCACTTCCTGTTAGTCTAAATATGTCAGATAAATAAATTAATATAATCACAGAACTCCAAATTCAATCAAAAATAATATGTGAAAGCTGAATATATTTCGTACACACTTATTTTCTTGTATAATTAAGAGACCTGCAAATAAAGTAGAAGGAAAGAGAATTATTTAAAGCTCTGTTCAGATTTGGCTTACAAAGCCACAGAAAAATGTGTTACAACAGCTGCATTTTCAACTTCATCAGATCTCAGCACCATTACAACAGTCTCATTCAGTATTTGTACAATACAAATGAAGGCAAATCCAGTATTTGTAGAATAGAAGGAAACTGTCTACAGCTAAAACCTTCTGTCCCATGGGATAACAAACTAACTTCTTACCCTGTTAGACATGATAAATGGCATAATTTTTCAACAATTATAAATGACTGCAAATGCCCTTTGAAGGTCCCTTGCAACCCAAACTGTTCATGGTTCTATGGTACTCTCTCCCCTTGTGTCCCAGAAAACTGAAAAAAAAAACACAATATATTCAGCCTATTTTGAATCAGTACAATAAAGCTTGTTCTATTTTACACTTCTGTAGAATTTAAAGTAGGCTCTGCTTCATTTCATCACCAGTTATGACAGAGGAATCCAAATTTGCTGCTGCAGCTTTAGGGAGAAGAATTAAAACTTATGTGAATCATAGAATAGAATAGAATCATAGAATAGTTAGGGTTGGAAAGAACCTGAAGATCGTCTAGTTCCAACCTCCCTTCCATGGGCAGCGACACCTCACACTAAGCCATATCACCCAAGGCTTCTTCCAACCTGGTCTTGAACACTGCCAGGGATGGAGCATTCACAACCTCCCTGGGCAACCTATTCCAGTGCCTCACCACCTTAACAGGAAAGAATTTACTCCTTATATCCAATCTAAACTTCCCCTGTTTAAGTTTTAACCCTTTACCCCTTGTCCTATGACTACAGGCCCTAAAGAAAAGTCCCTCCCCAGCACCCCTATAGGCCCTCTTCAGATACTGGAAGGCTGCTATGAGGTCTCCATGCAGCCTGCTCTTTTCCAGGCTGAACAGACCCAACTTTCTCAGCCTGTCTTCATATGGGATCTTCATATGGGAGGTGCTCCAGTCCCCTGATCATCCTCGTGGCCCTTCTCTGGACTTGTTCCAACAGTTCCATGTCCTTTTAATGTTGAGGACACCAGAACTGCACACAATACCCCAGGTGAGGTCTCACAAGAGCAGAGTAGAAGGGCAGGATCACCTCCTTCAACCTGCTGGTCACACTCCTTTTGATGCAGCCCAGGATACGGTTGGCTTTCTGGGCTGCAAGCGCACACTGCCGGCCCATGTTCATTTTCTCATCAACCAGCACCACCAAGCCCTTCTCCACAGGGCTGCTCTGAACCTCTTCTCTGCCCAACCTGTAGCTGTGCCTGGGATTGCTCCGAACCAGGTACAGGACCTTGCACTTGTCATGATTAAACTTCATGAGGTTGGCATCAACAAACCAATGATGTAGAATTTCCCTTCACTAAAGCAGGCAGTTGTCTTCTATGCTAATTAATGAACATTCCTCTCATCCAGGGCTACCAGAGGAATTTTATTTAGAGAAAAAAAAAACAAAACAAAACAACAATTTATTGCAGGGTTTTCATCCTCCCTTCTGGCTGCCAGTTCCTCTTCTCAAACATGCTCATCATGTCCCTGATTCACTTTCCTGTCATTGTTCCATGAATATGTTGATGATGGCTTCAAGTGAAGCTTCTTCAGTGTGTTAGAAAGGCTTCTCACAAGGTGAAGTCAGGCAGATAAGAAGTAGTAGGAAGAAACTGAATGGAATCTGTTGGTGCGAAAAATCAGTAAAAGAAGTGGGAATGACAGTTGACTGACGTGAGAAAGAAATCAGGAGCTCAAGGAACCAGGAAGGAAAAAGAGACTATGGTCTGATGCAGTAAAGTGAGTGGGAGAACTCTGAACTTTTATCCTGACTCCAATGACAAATATATTCTAGACAATATAAGAAAGGTTCAGACTTCCATGTAATGTAGACATAGTTATATAGCCATGAAAAATTATTCAATACGTATTTCTTAAACCATTTATCTCTCTTGTATGTGTGCTTATACCATATGAACATAAACATGTATTTAACACTTGAGACCTATTGTTACTCTTCTTAGTACAATTTTTCTTTAAAGGTGACACTTTATAGTGTTTTATGTGTAATGTTCTAGTGTTCTGATCATGTTAAGTCAGAGTAGATTCTGTCCAAATTATTAGAATATGTTAAATTCTTTGACAAAGAAGAAGAATGTGAGAGAAACATACCTCGATTTTTTCACCTGAAAGCTAATTTAAATTTTTGTTCTGAAATCTTGATTTTGTTTTGGAATCAATCTAATCTACAGAAAGATGAAAATCAGTGAAATTTTACCAAAAAAAGGTTTTATTTTTATTATATTTTTGTTTTGAAAAATGAAGAGCAAAGTGCACTATGAGCAGAGGAGAAAATGAAATCTTATTTTCTAAGAATCTGTGTCTTTCAACAAAATTTTCCCTAACTCCAGCAGTCTACTTGACATTTTCTTTGCCTAGAACTATTCCACGGTAATTTCGCTAATTCTTCCTATCACAGCTCCAATCTCCCTTCCAACACACCCAGAGGTATATTCTGCACCATCAAATCATCTGGGAAAGACGTAGGGCATACTGTTGTTGCTTTTCATGCTTTCCAAGCACTTCTGAACTGAGACTGTTATTTTTTTGTCAAAGTTTACCTTATCTACCCATCTAAAAACTTTCATATATAATGAAAAGGAAAGACTATTGATGAGACCGGAACCCTTCCTGTACCTTTTGTTAAGGATTTAATAAGTTTAAAAAGTTATTAATGTGGGACAGATAGATGGAAAAACAGACTCTGGAATTAGTAAAACTGTTTGTCCTGGTTTCAGCTGTAATAGTTATTTTTCTTTCCTTAGTGGAGAGAATAGCTGAGAGTATATGAAAAAAAAAAAACAACAAACAGGGGCCTTCAGTTTCAACTGGCTTATCTATTTTCTCTTGCAGGCAGTGTCAATATATTTATGCTTGAGGACTGTGTTCTGCTGTTTGGGGACAGGTCATTCTTTTTGTGGTAAAACCATCTGACCATCTATAGTTATGTCAGGCATTCACTTTACTCATCTGGTGACTGTTTTCTTGCCTTGTTCAGAGGAGTGAGTTGACCCATTCTGATATGGTTTCAAGGGAATCCATCAGCTTTTTTCTCTATTGTGTTATTAATGGGATTTATAAGTTTTTAACTGAAGAGCTGAGCCTTCACCTGCTAAATAGCTAGACATTCATTGACTTTGCTGTGTACAAGAATGACTACTTTTCACTCTTCTGTGATTAGCTGTATTTTTATGATCCATTCATAATCTTTGTGACATTGACGTAAAATGAGATCATAATGGAGGATTCTGTTACAAAGAAGAAGATTTTTTATTTCTTTAATAAATATCAGTGTGAGTTCTATTTATGACTTCAACTAAAGTAGACCATCTCTGTGTGCTAATTTACTATTTTTACTTGCTTTAAGTTAAAACAAAAAGATTTACAGAAGCTAACATTTGTTACTATTACAGAATTACCTCACATGGTACTGCTATAGGGAAATGTGTGAAAAATGTTTTTAACAAATTTAAAT